GTATATTACCGGGCTGGCTCGACCGGGGAAGGAAGACGCTTTCACGGAATATATATAAAAATAGTTACTCTTTTTATTAATAATAAGGTATTCTATCTTATTCCGGTTTTGATCCTTAATAAACGAAAGATGAAGTTGTCTATGGACCACAGTATCCACTTACCATCAGGTGAACTGTGTGATATAATAATACCTCAAAATTATAAGAAAACCCTTTTATTGAAGGCTTTTGAAATTTCATCTATTTAAAAAATGTTATTTATGTAAAATATATTCTCCTATTATTAAAGTTTAACCAATGTGTCTAACGCATCAGTAAGCTGAAGTGGTGTGTATGACAATATGTCTGCTCGAAGAACCGACAACTAATGGGTTCTCGAGTGAAGGCCTCATTCCGGTAAACGAAGTGTAGGTTGGCGCCGCACTAGATAGGAGTTACGATTCCATTAACGCAGGTGACTTAGAACTGTGTTTTGTGGCTTTCCTTTGATGGAAGCCTATGGACAGAACTGGTATTGTGAAGGGCGGATGACCATAATGATGGTTAAGTTACTTAGAAAGATCTAACTATGTTAACACGACTAATCATCATCATTATCATTAGAGCCTATAAAATAAATGTCTACTGCTAAACATAGATCGGTCCCATTAATTGAAACATAAGGGAAATATTTGCCTTAGTAGCAACACCTGGTATGCGAGTTGGCAACCGCATTTTTTAGTTTGTGTAGCAAGTTTGAGTTGTAAGCATTAAAACACCAATATCCTGTTTCATTTCCCTCCGTCGCCTCAAACAACACTCACGGGATAATATGAGGTGGTGGATATTGTTACACCGCTACTAAATAGCACTTAACTACATACATTTTGTAGACACATACAAGAATATTTGTGAGAAAGTTGAGATTAGTATTTTGCACAAATGTTTCATTTTCATAAGCATTGAGGTTAATTGGGGGCACTATTCTCCTTAACGATGCTCAAGCATCATTATATCCCTTTATGTTTTTGTATAAGGTTCATGATATAGATATCAAGATCACGACAGTGTATGGTTTTTATTACACAGGTAAGATAATGTTACTAAAAATATAACAATATAACAAATAAGATATATATTGGTAAATCCAATTAGGCATACGTTAAGCGCATTAAAAAAATTACGTATAACATGATTATACGGAATTTTTAAAGTAGTTTAAATACATTTCGACAGCACTATCGGCTTCAACACTCTCGAAAGCCATGAAAATGACACACATGATAAAAAAATTAATACCTATTGCAGTCGGACGGACCGTATCGCTCGGGCGCTACGATTCAAATTGCCACATTGCGACTTTTGCGAGGCTGCGCCGCAGATGCTCGACCGCATGACTGGGCCCACGGAATGGCATCAATGCTTTCAACGAAGTTAAAGTTTCACTTCATTTTTTAGGTTTGCGCGGGAACTCGAGAAGTGCGCTAGCATTTATTTAGTATTTCGTGAATCATTGTTTTGATTAGACAAGAAAGACCACTCTTAAATCTTAATATTTACAAATATATTATATATATAAACAAAAAAGTACAAAAAACAAAAATTATTACCAAGAAGTAAAGTAAGTAGGTGCCTCCATTTCATCATAGTTAATATACCAATCTTTTAAATACGCCAAAGAAAAGCAAAATGATATATTTTTTATTAGTTACTAGTATTATTTAGCCAGTCTTCGTCAGTCCTAAGCCTGGAAAAAGCATGAAGGTAAGATTGGAATATTACTTGAAGGTGGTGTTTTAACGCGATCCAGTTTTTACGTCTTAATTATCTTGCAGCAAATATCACAAATGGAAACATATTGAAGATTTCCGTGATTATAAATCAATACCTATATACACTGCCATGAACGGCGCAAAATAAAAAAGAATTATTTCGCGGACTAACTCACAAAGTCGATCCATGCCAGCAAAAATAACAAATGATAAAGTCAGCCATTAAACCGTCCCGCTATCATTTTAGTATCTACTCCTTAGTCATTACTCATAATTGAAGTGCCGTGATCTTATACTCAAATTAAAATCATTGATGATTTTGTCATTGCTCCCGTCATCGATATTTTTTTGTCATTGTCATGTAGTCATTGATACAGAAAAATCATCACTCAGCCCATCTCCATCGAAAACCATGAAAATGACACTCATGATGAAAAAATTGATACCTATTGTAGCCGCCATCTTGGATTTACATATCGACAGCACTATCGGCTTCAACACCCGCGAAAACCATGAGAATGACACCCATGATGAAATAATTGATACCCTATTGCAGCCGCCATCTTGGATTTACATTTCGACAGCACTATCGGCTTCAACACCCTCGAAAACCATGAAAATGACACCCATGATGAAAAAATTTATACCTATCGCAGCCGCCACCTTGGATTTACATTTCGACAGCACTATCGGCTTCAACACCCTCGAAAACCATGAAAATGACACCCAAGATGAAGAAATTGGTACCTACTTCAGCCGCCATCTTGTATTTACATTTCGACAGCACTATCGGCTTCAACACCCTCGAAAACCATGAAAATGACACCCAAGATAAAAAACTTGATATCTATTGCAGCCGCCACCTTGGATTTACATTTCGACAGCATTATCGGCATCAGCACCCTCGAAAACCATGAAAATGACACCCATGATGAAAAAATTGATACCTATTGCAGCCGCCATCTTGGATTTTACGCTATTACAACAAGGTCCCGGAAAGTGTACAGGTTCTCTCTATTACCAAGTTTAAATGTTTTATTAAGCTGAAACTGTATAAAAAGGCTTATTATAGTATAAATGAATACATGGTTGATAATAACCCTTGGGAATGAGGTGATCGCTTCCAAGCAGTTTCTAAAATAAATTTTGTAAATAGTTCGTAATCATTTATATTGTAAAATTTATTTTAAAAAAAAGTCCCGCTGGGTTTCTTGCTGGTTCTTCCCAGGACAGAGGGTTTTTTCGAACCAGTGGTAAAGTAAAAAATGACTTTCAATAAGAATTACACATGTAATGTATATTGAATAAAAAATATTCTATTCTATTCTATTCTATTCTATTTACATTTCGACAGCACTCTCGGCTTCAGCACCCTCGAAAACCATGAAAATGACACCCATGATGAAAAAATTGATACCTATTGCGGCCGCCATCTTGGATTTACATTTCGACAACCCTATCGGTTTCAACACCCTCGAAAACTATGAAAATGTCACCCATGACAAAAAAAATTATACTACTTACTTTTAGTACGTACTACTATTATTTATTCTGTGCTTTTTAAATATTGCAATAAAAAAATCTCTTATTATTATTATAATCAAGTATTTAAGAAATTTGGTTATTCGAATATTGTGTATTTGTACAGCGATCTTTTTGAGCCGCTGCAAACAACCCAAACAATGTCCACTCACGACGGCGACTGAAGCGGTGAAGCCGAACTAAACTACTCTGTGGCTGTAGCTCCCCATTTACAGAAATAATTTACACAAGGCTTACCAAACCAATGAAAATTTCGCCATTTTGTAGCCGAAAAAAATTAATTATAGCTAAACAAAACAAAATGACCCTGCCATTTACATTCAGTGGGTTCCCACATGATAGATGAAGAGATTAAAAAATAGATTGAGTTAAACAATTGATATTTTCAAAAGATATCGTGTTTACAAGCCTTGGGGACATGATAAATCCATACCATAAGCCACTAAAACCCCTTTTTTATATAAAAAATAGCAATTAATCGATTTAAAAAAAATATTAATAAGTTCAACAATCATTTATCTTTCTAATAATGTGATTTTTATATCATTTATATGTATAATATGATTGCTAGATACGATTTTATTCGATAAAACGTTGGAATCTTAATTTTTAGGTGATAGTAGAACATACCTTGCGCTTTCGCTTAAGGTATGGTATCAAAATAGCGATTGTATAACAATATTTTAAGTATGCTGCTTTCAGAAATATATAAGTAAATGTCTATTGATCTTCTTTGGGGAAGTTCTAGGCAAGATATAATGTTTTTCGGTATAACTCAAAATGTAAGAATTTATTATAAGTGTACACTTGGGCTGGTTGTGTAAAGAAGCAAAGCGTCATTTCTCTATACGATTGTTCTTCTTAAGATATAAAGATTATTTTTATTACAGTAACAGTAACATATAAGCGTCCACCTGTTGGTATGTAATGCTGTGGTGGATAAACACCTACATCTGTTTTTGTTATGGTATCAAAATTCCGATATTTAGTCACCATAACATAACTATGATGAAATTCCACGTCATCATTTAAAGTAAGTAAAATAGTCCACGTATTTTTTCACTAACCAATACGAAACAGCAGTGTTATGATTCTATTCTGTGAGAGCGTAGTCTTTACCTTTTCGAACCTACCTATTCCTACTGCATCTATAATGCAACTACGGAATGCCTCTACAAATATAAGAAGACATGCAGGAAGCAGATGGATACAGGTAACAAGACACGCTTTGTGTAATAGCATTGGAAATGCCTGCCATAGATTGATTTTTGGTCAGTATACTCGTAGAACATCTGGTGTGACAATAAACTGTCCGTTTTAGTGTTTGATTGTGTTGAAGTTACAAGACTGTTTTAAGCTGTTAAAATGTAGTGAACAAATTATATATGTGCTACATTATATGACGGTTAGAGGCTTAAGAAAATCCATTACCCCATTTCGTTCCGTGGCTTTCGTCAGAAGTGAATATGGGACAAGCCAGAAATGTCTTGCGGTTTCCAATTGAATGCGGTATAACGTTTGTAGATACAACAGGTGTAGAATACTCAGACCAGCGACGAAGAGCAGCGTCGTAGGTGCCAGACATATGGTATTTGCAAACCAAGTGTGACTATTGCGAGAAATCGAGTCTTCAATGCGATAGGCCCATGTCTACTAGTGGTAGAATAAAAAGAAGTATAATTCGGTAATTAACTTTTTATTGACAGGAGGTGGTTTCATGAGGTTGTTTGGAACATACCTGGCATCACATGGTTCAGCTTTAGGCACATATTTTAGACTTCTACGTCCACGTGGAGTGCCGCTTGATTTTCGTGAGATTTTAAAAAGAGTCAATACTCCGTTTATGTTTTGTCTCAAAATCCCTGGATCTACATCACTTGCCGAGGTAATGATGCATTATTTTTATACACCTTTTATAAAACTATTTATGTACTATAAAAAATGTCATTTGGACGGCGGAATTATTTCATTCCAGTGAACGCAAATAAAAAGAAGGTATTCCTAGCTCCTAAAAATGACCCAACGGAAATTGAGCTGTTCCGTGTAGTGGCGGTGTAAGAATATCCACTACCCCATATTGATGTCGTAAGAGGCGACAGAGGAAAACAAATCAGGGAATGATAAGCAGTGTTTACGTAATAACGACTAAAAATAATAAGCTGCGGTTGCAGACCCGCTTTTCAAGCGTGCCAACTATGGTAAATACCCCCCTTAAGATGCAATTTATAGGGGAGGCCTGTATTCAGCAGTGGATTTTGATAAGCTACAACGGTAATGGTAAATATTAGGTGCGGTTTTCCAATTGTGCTCCAAATGAGTCGTTCAAATACCGTCAGTATCATAATACTGATTAATTATAGTATGCGTTGCACCTTATTCCATATAACGTCCCTGGCGACGAGTGACGAGCACAAGGCATAATAAACGTTCTAAGTGACTTGTGAATGACACTTGAATCCTATGACTATCTGCATATATCCGCCCCAAGTCCTCATTAAATAATAATATAATAAACTGTTAGATAATCAGATATAAGTTTCAATATGTTAGTTTGTTTGAAATATTGTGCCATGTTGCGCGCTTAATTTTCTTTAAGTAATACTTCCTGGTTTTATTTGAGTTTACTGTTTAACTTTAAATGAAATTTATAATATTTTTGCACAATAATTAAATTGAAAATATTTACACTATTGTAAATATTTATGAAATATATTTCAGACTACATCCTTAAGAACGAGTACATTCCTTTGGCTCTCGCAAAATGTACCTTCTGTTTGCACAACAAAGGGATCGTATATTACGCGCGAGCGTAAAAACTTAAATGTAATTATATGATACAAAATATAAAAATATAAAATAAAAATAGGGATATTGTGTTATGAAAATAATAAAATAATTGTTATTTCTACTTGAGTAGTTGAACGTTTCTATTAAAAAAAAGTTCATATAATTGAAAATAAAGGGTTAGGCTTTCAAAAAATCAGTTAAGAGTTACGAATGTTTCAATTAAGAAAAAAAAAAGATTATGTCACACTTTAGAATTAACAACAGATTACGGGCATATTAGTGTTCCGACTTCAAAAACGGAGCAGTTATTGAATCAGCTCGGTGTTTTTTCGTCACAGAAGTTTTTCTCTGAGATTATTCTGCGTAGATGACCCAAACACTGACGTGAGATGTTAGTCCAATCTGTGACCGTCGAAAGAGGTTGGTCATACAGAATATGATGCAGGAAAATATACTTTTTTATTTGCTGGCTATTAGACTACCTTGTGATAATACTTCAAAGATTGTGAAAATATACTAGATCTAGACGTAGTAAATTTAGAATAGAATCACAATTCCTTCCTATTATAAAGGTGAGTATCGATTGCAGTCAAGTAAATTTATTTTAATGGCATAAATCGTGTTTTAGGAACCTTTCCAAGTTATATAATTTAATAGTATATTTTCTACTGCGTCGTTTCTTAAATTGTTTACTAGGTATCTTTTCTAACTTGGAAATATTCCAAATGATGTAAAACCGACAGCAGTCCAAAATGTATTTACGAAACTATAATATTTTAGCAAAAACTGCAATTACTAATGCCAAAATTTTACATTGATGTGCTTAAATTGATCAATTTTCAACAGAACTATAATTAAAATATGTATAAAAATTTCATTCAATCGTAGGTACATTAGCTATTGTAGTCCTTGTTTGTTTGACTAGTCATTCTTTAGATTGCATATCTTGAACACCTTCAAGAATTAAAGGATCAATTTGCTGAAACAATAACATATGAAAGTAACAAACTCTATAATAATTTTGACATTCTAATATAATAATATTTAATTATTCCTGTCACAGGGTTTAGAAATTAAGGGTCAGATGGTATTCTGTTCAGAGTCAGATTCGCTTCTTTTTGTTGGATCACCCTTCTTGGACGGTCTTGAAGGACTAACTGGGAGAGGACTTTTTATTTCGGATATTCCTTTACATGATGCTACAAGAGACGTTATTTTAGTTGGTGAACAAGCGAGAGCTCAAGTAAGATTAGTATGGTATTTATGGTATTTTCTAAAGAACACTTGTTTGGTAAACAAAATTACTACATATTTTCAGGATGGATTGAGGAGAAGAATGGATAAATTAAAAAATTCAATAGAAGAAGCCAGCAAAGCGGTAGATAAAGAGCGTGAAAAGAACGTCAGCTTATTGCATTTAATATTTCCACCTCATATCGCAAAAAGGTTATGGTTAGGTGAGTATTTAACCTATTAATTTCAAAACAAGAAGACTACAACTGTCATCTATACAAATAAATAAAATTTAAGTGTCCGTTTGTAAAGACAAAATCATAGATTTTTACTAAATGCATATATATGAAAGTATATGTGCTCCATATTTTTTTTATAGGATAATGGTGACACACGAACACATAGTCCACCTGATGGTAAGTGGTTGCTGTAGCCCATAGACATCCACATCTATCTTCTATTAAGAATCAAAATGCAGATGTGTTGTCACCCGTGAGGACTAAGATGAAATGCCTCGTTTCCAGTAAAAAGGGTATCCGGTTCTCTACACTCACCAAACGAAACACAGCATCGTTAAGCTGCTATTTTACGCTGGTATTCATATAACAAAACACATTTTTTTTAATTTTTGTCAGTCTTTCTGTCTGTTTATTCCGTCTAACCTCTGAAATGGCTGGACCGATTTTGATAGGACTTTCACTGGCAAATAGCTGATATTATAAGAAATAACTTGGGCTACTTTAGTTTTAGAAAAATAATAATGGTTCCGCGCAAAAACATTAAAACCCTAAATTACACGCGGGCAAATTCGCGGGGAACAGCTAGTATATTAATAAAATAGCGTTTGTCATTGAACATACGAGTAACTTTGTCTCATTCTTCATTAATTAAAAACAATTTACCCTGTAGAACAACCTCCCTCATATATTACTTTATATTTACCTTAATTGCAATGAATAGTAGGCGGGTTGGCAACCGCAGTTTTTGATTTTCTATTTGTTGTTAGAAAGACGCTGCTGCCTGTCTTTGTAGCATGCCGTGCTTTGTTTTCCTAAATCGCATCGTACGACACCAACAACACGATATGGAGTATTGGATATTCTTACATTACCACTACACGATCAATAATTATATCCCGTTTATTATTGTATTTTTATTATAACCAACTTAGTGTTTATAACTTCCGTAACGGTAATGCATTGAAATACTTGATACATTTTAAATTTCGTGAAGTAGTTAAATGCATTGTGCGTATTAAAATACTTAAATAATTGTAAATTTATTCAAGTGTTTTAATTATCTTCACATAAAAAATTAGGAGAGAAAATCGAAGCAAAAAGTCACGACGACGTAACAATGCTGTTTAGTGATATCGTGGGATTCACATCTATTTGTGCCACCGCAACACCTATGATGGTCATAGCAATGCTTGAAGATTTATATAGTGTATTCGACGTATTTTGCGAGGAACTTGACGTGTACAAGGTAAGTGCAATTTGTTAATACCGCGTATATTTAAAATTACTACATTTGAACATGAGTTCAGATACAAAAAGAGTCTGCTGTGTGTCACACACATGTAATAAACATGGAAATAAAAAAGTAAAAAATCAAAACAAAATATACAAACATAAAGTAAGGGTAGTTGATGATACCATGATTTATATATTACTTCATGATATAATTCTAGTTTACTACATTTAGTGTCTTAACTATAGTTTGATTTTCTATTTTAGATTATATTAGATTTCGTATATTTAAAAATGTACAAGTAAGATAATTATTTGTATGCAAAAAAAATTACGTCCTTTCTCTTTATTCTCGTATAACTTATTATACAAATACTTGTTTTGATGTCTATTAGTATAATAATGATTTCCTCCATACCGAATTTCGGTCACGGCGGCTAGCCTTAACGGAGACTAGCCATCTGCACAAGATATGATCATAGTGCCCAATTTATTAGTGTATGTGCAAGCACAGATATACTCGATATTCTCTCACTCTCATAGTTTCATGGGACGGTGAACCGACACGATCGGAATGATATCAGGTGCAGGACCAACGGCTTTACGTGCTTTCCGAGGTACTGACTCCGGGCAGCTACTGAGAATTTCTTGACGGAAAAACTCAATAACTGATTTTTTTTACCTGACCCGGGATTCGAAATTGGGACCTCGTGATCAACAGTCTGCTTACAACCACTACACCAACGAGGCAGTCACACTACTAATATATCGACTGACTAGTGTGTCAAATGCCCAACTGTTACTACTCGAGTATCCTGTGCTGCATCTCACGTGGGTGGCACCAGTGCCTGTAGTTTTTTCGGAAGCTAAATGCAGGTGTTCATGCGGTGCAGAAACCATTTATTATCATGTACCCTGCAAGGTTTCTTTGTATGTCAGTACAAAATGAATACTAAACTTTACTATTTTGTTTATATATTGATTGCTCATTTGACTGACAGATCATCATTACAGCCTTTCACAAGTCCATTGTTGTACATATTACCCGCATCCATCGACTTCCTGCATTTTTTACTAGGTCGTCCTACACTCCACTTATCGGTAGGAACCCTCCATTCTAAAACCTATCTGCTCCATCAGTAGTTGGTTTGTCGAGTTTTATGATTTTGAGTAATTAATTGATTCGTACTCCATATTACAAGGTGGAGACGATTGGCGATGCATATTGCGTGGCCAGTGGACTTCATCGGAAAATAGACACGCATGCCCCACAAATTGCTTGGATGGCGTTACGAATGGTTGAAACATGTGCGCAGCATCTTACGCATGAAGGAGACCCTATAAAGGTACGAATAATCTATAACATATAACCTCTTACTAGAAACAAATGTCGATAAAATAAAATTTTGTAATATTCATATAAGTAATTAAAAGTCGTAGTACCTCGCTGCGAGCATAATATTATGGTTGCATGACTAATGGGTCAGCATGACTGAGGGAGGTCCACGCTCGCTCAGAATACCAGTGTGAAACGGAAGTATAGTACAGCTGTGTTTTGATTGTTGGGAGACGAGAACTTAAGACTTTTTATTGATAAATAGGCGTTACATCCTCTGGGGTGTTAACGGATCTGCATTTTGATTCTTAATCGAGGGCATATGTATGTCTATGGGCCACAGCATCCACTTAACTCACACAGGTGAATTCAACACTCAGGTGAATTTTATGTGCCCTTAAGCTGACTTTGAAGTTTGCATTTCAAATGTAAGTTAATAAAAATGATAAAATTAGAATTAAATGTTTTGATATGATTTTTATTAAATAAGTTAATATCATAAAATTGATAACAATAAATTTTCAACTATGAAAGGTATCCTACTAAGTAACTTCCTTCATCTTTTTCTTTTCCTTCTTTTAATTTTTTCCTACTTCTTATTTGTATTATTAGGATTTAATTTTAAAATGGTTTACACTTAAACACCTACATTAGAAATATGACTTTTAAATTAAAAAATGCCAGGATCAATACTTGAAAGTAGTGGGTTTATATTTGCACGGCATATTATTCCTAAAGTCAGCTCTACGTAGCTTGCTCACGTGTTTCCAGTGCCCAAAGTTTGTACGTTTTTAGTGTGAAAAACAAATCGTTAAATGTAGCCTATAGAATTATATTGCAGTTGAGCAAACCTCGACTTTTAGTGGAAATAATTTGAGTTATAAAAATTTGACAACGTGCGCGGAGCTGCGGGTAAAAGCTATTACATAATATATGTTAGTTAGTTTGACCAAATGAGCGGAAATTATTTACTTTTGGTATTCAGATGCGTATAGGCCTTCACACGGGAACAGTTCTTGCTGGTGTTGTTGGAAAAACGATGCTCAAATATTGTCTATTTGGGCATAATGTCACGCTTGCAAACAAGTTTGAATCCGGTTCGGAACCACTGAAGATTAATGTCAGTCCTACAACACACAAGTAAGTGAAATTCAAGAGATCTTAAGTAAGTCCCACACTAATAATAATTTACTATAATGAATAATGTCCTTCACTGGTACTACTCAAATAAAGTCTCCTTTAGCTGATCACAGGTTCATTCTCTATTCCCTAACTCTCAGAGATCAGGCGCAGGATCAAAGGATTTCCAATGGTGAACGCCGCCGGATGCCTTACTCGAAGCTGAATTTTTTTACAGAAAAACTTATTTGGCCCTACCTAGGATTTCAACACGGGACCTCATGAATCATGATCAGCAATCGAGACCAACGAGGCATTCATATTAATCATATAATAATTTACTAAGATAAATATAAAACGAAGTGTATTGATTAGAAACAATTCGTTATCAAAATGATCATTATTAAGCCGTAGACAAATACAGGAAGTACTTGTTGGATTCGTTTCTTTTGGCATGAGATTTGGGATCACAGTACCTAGTCGATAAACAATATCTTATTAAGAAAAACTGCAATATCAAAAATTATTAATATAATAATAATTATTAAGTATTTTATCAACCGATTTCAATAAAAGGAGGAGGTACTCAATTTGGTGTTTTTATGTGTGTTGCCTCAGAATTTTTCTCGGTGAATCAAATTTGATGATTTTTTTTATTTGAAAGTTGGTACTTCTCACGTGGTCCCATATAAATTTGATCAAGATCTGACCAGTAGTTTATGAGTTATCCTTAATAATGTATATTTAATTGACTTCGACAACATTGATGATGTTCTCATTAACCGACTTCAAAAAGGAGAAGGTTTAGAATTCGTTGGAATCGTTTTTTATGTATGTTCCCCGATAACTCAGAGACGCCTGAACCAATTTGGAAAATTCTCTTTTAGATTTAAAGGGTATACTTTCCAGGTGGTCTCATTTAAATTTTATCGAAATCGGTCGAACGGTTTCTAAAAGAACAATAATAAATCATATTTATATTAAAGTCGATAGTACAACATTTTTAATTTTACCACTTGTTTATATTGAAGTAGTTTGTACAAAATTTTTAATTTTAGCACATGTGCATTATTAAACAAAAAAGTAAAAGTGAAGGAAACTTTACGCCATTGTAACTATTGTATAATGGTTTATTCGTGCAACATTTACACTTGTTTTACAGTGGTTTAACGGCCATAATAGAAAATAGGTTTTTAATACAAAAAAAACAGCTTTAACAGAGAAACTTCTTCTATACGTTTATATACGTTTCCTTCTATATACGTTTCACTCCTGAGCACGGTCCTCCTCTTGTTCCTTAAGAGGATTATGGAGTAGTTCAAATATAGTCGAACTAGTATTACTTATTAACTTTATTTGCTTTTCCCGCCGAGTAAGTGGTTAATCAGAATGCAAACTTGCAAATAATTTAATTAGTGCTGACGAGGATTGCAATCGGGTTGATCGCAAACTGCGAAATTTTACGGTGAGTGTGTGTAAAGTTAGTCCCTGTGCGGGTGGAAGGAAAAGGGGAGATCTCTCGCCGGGCAAGGTGTTCTGCCCGGGGAGCGGCTAATGCTCCGATTGGTAGTTCGGAGCTATTCTATATATACTGCTTTAACTTCGGAACTTTGTTAGTGCGATTTAGGCTTTGATGTTTTTCGCTTGTGGCGCGTCGACAGCGCCACCACATCACTCCCCTGCTCAGACCGGAGGTCGATAGTGCAGTCCGATTGTCAGTGCATCCTTAATGCCGGTGAGGAATGCATACTATGTGCGTAAGGGCAAGTGACGCCGGTGCGTACGTTAAGCCGGTCTGTAATGCATGCCGTACTACGCACTTGCAAGTGATGCCGGTGAGAACGATGAGCCGGAGCAAGTGCTAGGGATTGCCTTTTAATCTGCGTTGAGTCGAGAAGAAGGCAAGTAATCTGCGAGAGTGCCGTGAAGCAGAGGCGAGCAGTAAGGCTCAGAGCCGTGCCGAACACTGTAGCGCAGAGAGTAGCTTGAAGGAACAGGAAGCATTATTATTCCAGTGCTACGATGAACCTTTGTAAAGCTAGATGGCTTGCAGAATGTGAAGGCTGCAGACAATACCAGCTCGGGAGCGATTGAATGGGGTACTTGAGGATGATGAAGGTTTGAAGTTGTAGTTTCTGAAGGTTGTTGGTTGCGTGTTCATATCACGTCGGGGTCACCAGTGTGGCGGGTGGAAGGAAAGCGGGAGATCTCCTGCCGGGCAAGGTGTTCTGCCCGGGGAGCGGCCAATGCTCCGATTGGTAGTACGGAGCTATTCTATATATACTGCTTTAACTTCGGAACTTTGTTAGTGCGATTTAGGCTTTGATTTTTTTGCTTGTGGCGCGTCGACAGCGCCGCCACAGTCCCTGAGCTACCATGGCTTTCGTTATAAATTATAACTAGAATAAGATGTAATGGCGGTATAAGTATATTCACTACACCATATCATCTCGTCGTAAGAGGCGACAGAGGGAAACATATCAGAAGATGGGCAGCAGCGTCTTCCTAATAAAGACTAAAAATAAAAATAAAAACTGCGGTTACTAGGATAGCCAACCTGCTTGTTAAGCGTGGCAACTATGACAAATATCATCCCTATAAGGCAATTTACGAGGGAGGCTTACTCGTATGTTCAGCAGTGGACTTTAATAGACTGTAACGGTAACGGTAGAATAAGGTGTGTCAGTTCCGTTACTTATATTTAGAAACGTTAGTATTTCAGTGATTTATTGCTTAACCCCATTTCAAAAAAGGATTAGATAATCGATTCACGGTCAATGACCGCGTAAAGGCTTTGTAGGAATATCTACTACTCCATATCGTTTCATGGAACACCCAGGCGACAGAAGGAAATAAACAAGTAGGTGGGCAACAACTAAAAATTACTGTGTTCGCCAAACCGCCTGCCAAGCGTGTCTACCAAATATCGCTCGTATGAGGTGGTCTACGTTCAGCAGTGAACTTTTAATAGACTGTAATATGTTAAATTAATGTGGTTAGTTACCTACTACCTACCCTTTAGCTGATAATGAGTATACTTTCGGGTTTGGCACAAAGCGCTTCTTTCGAAGCTCCCTTCCTATGGGCTTCCCGAGAAATTGTGCAATTGGATCACCAGCTTCCTTGCAGATCGGAGCATCAAGGTCGTTGTAGACGGTGCATGTTCTGACTACAAGCCTATTAACGCTGGTGTTCCACAAGGCTGTGTGCTATCACCAACGCTGTTTCTTCTGCATATCAATGATATGTTGCTAACTGGTAACATTCATTGCTATGCGGATGACAGCACTGGTGATGCTCTATACACCGGCCGGGCCAATATTTCTCGGGAAAACGTCGACGAGTACCGGAACAAACTTGTGTCTGAAGTCGAGTCTTTGCTGGACAAAGTCTCGGATTGGGGGCGACTAAATCTAGTCCAGTTTAATCCTCAGAAGACACAAGTTTGCGCGTTTACCGCTAAAAAGAACCCCTTTGTCGTATCTCCTCAGTTTCAAGGCACTCCCCTTCTTGCCTCAGCCAGTATCGGTATCCTCGGAGTCGACATATCGAGTGACGTGCAGTTTCGTGGTCACTTGGAAGAGAAGGCCAAATTGGCCTCTAAAAAGCTTGGCGTGCTCAGCAGAGCGGGACAGTATTTCATGCCGGCACACCGCCTGCAACTTTACAAGGCGCAGGTTCGGCCTCACATGGAATACTGTTCCCATCTCTGGGCAGGGGCTCCCCAGTGCCAGCTCCTTCCACTTGACCGCATCCAGCGCAGAGCGGCTCGAATCGTCGACGACCGAGCCCTTTCCGATCGGCTCGATTCATTGGCACTGCGAAGAGATGTTGCATCTCTTTGCATTTTCTTTCGCATCTACCATGGGGAGTGCTCTGAGGAATTGTTCGGATTAATCCCAGCCGCCAAATTTCATGAACGCACATCGCGGCAGAACTCCCGATACCATCCACACCATCTGGATGATTGGCGGTCCACCACTGTGCGATTTAGAAGATGTTTTCTTCCTCGCACGACTTCCTTGTGGAATCGATTACCATCAGCGATTTTTCCGGACCGATACGACTTAGGGACCTTCAAGAAAAGAGCCTACTCCTTTTTAAAAGGCCGGCAACGCATCTGCAATTCCCCTGGTGTTGCGGTTGTTCATGGGCGGCGGTAGTCACTTACCATCAGGTGAGCCGCATGCTCGTTTGCCCCCTCTCCTATAAAAAAAAAAAAATACTTTCAAATAGGTTCCATATTATTTATTCAAAAAGATGGTGATGATGATAGTTGAAGTCATTTTTGGAACGAAGTTCCTTATTGGACAGTACGAATTTGGCGGATGGAGGCTAGGCGAGAAAAAGTGTAAGATTTTTCCGTCACGACCCCTTCTATAGTACAGACAGCCTTGGCGGCTGGAAGGAAGCGAAATGGAATAATATCCATCTCCCTCGAACTCTTTCTTATCTTGCCATGAAAGTAATATTATTTGATTTTAAATATGTCTTCAATTTAATAGACGCTAGATTAAAATGTGTAGGGTAAAATGTTAGTTATTCATTTATTTGTGTTTGTTCATCAATAATATAATACGTTTATCAATAATAATATAATACGAAAGGAACTTCGTTCCAACCGAGTGTTTCACGACACTCAAGCATGTGTTTTTATTATTTTAAATGTCAATTGTGTCATTTGTGTCACAATAAATTGGAAGATTCGCAGTCTTTACAAAAATAGACGATACCAGAAACTTAACAAAATAATTTATCTCGCAGGTGGCTTATAAAATTCCCGGGATTCGAGATGGAACCACGAGATCGTTCTTGCCTACCGAATTCATTCCCTAAGGACATTCCCGGAACATGCTATTTTCTACACAAATACACGCACCCGGGGACTGACCCGAACGCGTCGCAAGTAAGTTTATTTTTCTTTTCTTTTAACTTATTTGGCTACTATAATAATATCGTGTATTGCTCAATTTCTTCTGGAATCAAACCTAATGAAATACAAATTTGACGATTTAGTAATAATCTAGCTATCTATCTTTTTCTATGATACAGAGTAATTATTATAAAATTAGAAAATAATAATTATAGAGTAAAATATTTCATCTTAAGTCGGATCAAAAAAGCCATATACCTAAGTAAAATCTTTTATATTTTGTCAATAGGTAAAACATATAGAAGATGCACTTAATGACTACGGAATTGGACAGGCAAAAGGGGAAGTTGACAGTGAAGATCCTACTTAGTGGACATAGTTGCCACCTTTCCTTGTAATTTTACTCGTAGTTTTTTATTTACGTAAGCTTAGTTATTAGCAAGAAATAATACATTAATTTGTAAAGAATTTTAATCTAGTCTAGTAATATAAAACATGGGAATACAGTATTGCAAAATGTATAAGATTCAAACATATTTTAGAAATCTATGTGATCTTAATAATATAGTAGAAAATAATATATGAAAATTGTTTTTCGCTTAGGATAATTTTGCTCATATCCTTGATATTGAATAAATTTAACGTTTTTTAAGTAGTTTTAAGCTTGTAGAAAATTATGACAATGAGTAAAATTTAGCGTTTAATTTATAAAAAAATATCTTTGATTTCATTAGATAATACTTACTATTCTCTTAAAATTGTATATATTGCAAAATGTTATAAAAATAACTATTTGCTACTCGTATTGGTTATCTACCCAAGTTACATGTATTTCTCAGTTATAGCTGTTTTCGATATTAAAAACGTATTTTCTATTATGGCCTTTAAACTACTGTAAAACAAGCGAAAATGGTGCAGGAATAAACCATTATTCAACACTTACAATGGTGTAAAGTTTTTATAATTTCATACTCATATTCTGCCGAACGAATAGTTAGTCATAAAATCGATTTTGCACGCTCTTCACGGAAATAACGAAACATTACAAAGAATGTAGATATCCTATTGGATACAATAATCAGATATGTCTTCTTGAATAAAATAAATGAAACGTGGGTTATAATGAAAGTTCCAGGAATTTGATCAATAAAAACACTTATGCTGTCTGTGAAGATTGAATTGATTCTGAATGATCATTCAACGCAACTTACACATTTTTGCAATATTGGAACCATTATAATAAGCAATAAGGCCTTTATTAAAAATTTAAATAGTCAAACAGCTTGTAGACATGACTGGTTGTGTAATATATTATTTATAGGGAGGTCGGTGAGTCTTCACCGTGAAGATTTCGTAATTTTCTTCAGATAAGTGAGTAAACAGAAACATACCAATTAGGTGTTATTGAGATGTGATTATTGTTTTAAATTTATTGAGAAAAGGAGAGTAAACAAAAGTTAAGTTATAGCCTATATCATCATTACAGCCTTTCATTAGTCTACTGCTGAACATAGGCCTCCCCAAGGAATGCCACTAAGTACAGTCCTGAGCCTAGCATATATACGTTGCACGAATACAGGCCTTCTCTCTTGCAAAGTTCAACGCGCTGCCCCAATGCGTGTGCGTGATTTCACATGCCTTTGCAATATATTTTTTACTTATCAAACATGCAGATTTTCTCACGATGTTTTCCTTCACTTTAAAATTGTAATTAATAATTTCATTGGCGTCGGCGGGTATCGAACCCGGGTTACTCACTAGGGTTGCTCACCGTGGTTGCTTGAATTCTGTCAAAAATTTACGGTAAGTGCTGAGCCTCTGAATTGTCACGGCTTTTAAAAAATAGAATTTTATGTCAGTATTTCACGTATTTAATTTTTTAGAAAATTTTAACTTCATCAAACGGAAATTTCTTTTAGGTTAATAAGTTGTCACTTCTTGTCAAAAAGTATTGTAACTATATATAACAACTTAAACTTGTACAGTCTTATTACAAAACGTGTATTATTAATAGTCTTGGGTTATGAAGAGTTTTTATAACTAAAGAAGTGTTGTTGTTTTCTGTCATTTTATGCACCCCCTTCTAACTTCGTTAAATTTTTTTAATAAAAGTAAAATATTATAAATATTTTAAAATATTTTAAAATATTTTTAAAATAAATAATCAATCACATAAATCATCCAGCGAATAAAATGACTTAGGTCCATCATAAAGCATTTTTACACAGTTTTTAAAATGTTGCGACAAGAGATAACTACACTCTGTCTTTATTTTACAGGTTGTATATGTGTTATCTATAATGTATTACATTGTTTTTTTTTTAATATTAAGCAAATATCAATTACAGGATATACATATACTGGGCACAAACCTCCCCTAATGTTTCTTATTGTATTATAATATTATAATAAAATAAAAGTACTCATTGCAACATCCAAACATTAAAACGAGGTAGTCAATACCTACAATATTCGCAATAACAACACTTATGAAGGTGCACTTTTTCTATGTTCTTAATGAAAATTTCAAATTTCACTATCAATGAAATATGTAATGTAAATATTAAATTGTACGAAGAATATTCTTGAGCTTCGATCCAGATAAAAAGATCAACTGTCCATGCCTTTGCCTTGAGTGTTGTGTAAGTATCTTATATAGTATTTTTAAAGCATAATATGAAGTTCTAGAAAATGTTTTTCTCGTATTCCACTAGCTGGTAACCTAGTAAAAGCTTTACTATTTTGCTAATAAGACACTGTAAATACATTTGAATCTGGGATAATTACGACTTACATAGATATAATGCGATTGGCCGTTGTATTAGATATTACAGTAAGGTATGTGTTGACTTGAATTTTGCTAAATATAATCAATATTTATATGTGCAATATATAGGTATAGAGTACTGAATTGTATGAAATTGTATTTATTAAAATTTGGCAGCTTGTAAGTTGTTAATAGAAGAAAAATTGTACCACTTTTTTGTATTCAATCTTCTACTTAATTATCTGTTTCGGTAGCAAGTAAAGCAAATTAAATTTAATTTGTGTTATATATGGTATAATAATTAGTACATAAATGTGTATCTGTGTATGTGTATCATGCAAAACTTTAACCATCTCAGAATATATTTGATATATTATATATACAATATTTTATTATATAGAATATTAAAAACTATAATAAAAAAACTAAAACTAGTAACTTAATTATCATATTATAGTCCTACTCCCCGCGGTATCGTGCCAAGAACGCTGGCTGCGTTTCCCAGCTGAATGACTATACTTAGCCTTTGAGCGAGAAAAGAACCAGCCCTCTTATCACCACCAGCAACCACCAGCCGCGGATGGGGTTCCTTTAGGAACTTCACTGCACTTGGATATATATAACGAGTTTAAATTAAGGTCCGTTACAAATACGCATTCATGTATAACTAGTTTTAAATACGTATAGCAAATTTGTATATACTTTATATAAATATTTACAAAAAAGCGTATGTTTCTAAAGTAGAATTACTATTATAGCACTATCTTATGCATGTAAACTAAGAATTTTAAATGTAAGCGATTAAATCCCAAATAGATTTTGCCCTGCATCGATTCCACATTTTAATCGAAATCATAACAGTTTTATGTACTTCAAATGATATATAATTTATTGAGTAAATTTTGATCAACTCAAATAAATGTTTGCACAAGCAACTAGTATTAAATTTAATATCTGCATTCCATCTAGGTATAAGTGACGTGAGACTTGGCAATATTAGTATCTTTCATTATATCATAGACATGATATATGTACATCGATAGTAATTATAATGTATATGATTAGATTTGGATAATAAATAATGGTAATAATACTAAACAAGTATGTTTACACAATAATATCTAAGTGTAAGCTTGACTAGTACGCTGGGAAAAATATAAAGAAAAAAAAAATAGAATACGTTTCGCATAGTATCTGTTTAATATATTAATTGATAATCTAGTTAAATTTATGCCATAACAGTTGTAGTATCTTAAATTTTCACATCATATAAAATATTTTTAATTATTTTTATAACTTGGTATCAAAAGTTTTGATTTAAATAATTTTTCTTCCCACAATAAAATATATTAATTTTTATAATGTTTTAATTAGGGGATATAATATATAAAGGTATATTTCATTCATAGGAGTTCTCATCTTCATTTGATTTTATTTTTCACCTTTATTATTCATGTTACAAAAAATTTTTAAAATTAATATTGAAAAATACTTTACTAAGTTTATTGTCATATAGTAGTCTATTAGATTTTAATTGATGGTAGCCTAATATATTTTGCCTATGATCACGGCCTTTTAATGTACAGTTGTAACTGTATAGTGCTGTAAATGAAATTTTAGAAATGTGTACATTTCGCTACGTATTTAACACAATGTGTATATCATGCCACTTTTAATATCTGAATGTTTATTTAAAAATAGTATTTCAAAGAGAACTTAACTATGATTGCACTATTAGTAAAACAATGTGTAATAAAATATTTCTTCCACATATAAATTGTATTTTTAATTTCGATCCTAATTTCATAGGTATTCCTGCTTTATTTTCATCCAGTTAAGAAAATGTGACTTGTGGACACGAAAACTTCCATAGTAGCGAGGATTCCGAGGCCACAATCGCTACGCTTAGTATTACTCTCTACTGAAAATACGTGGTATTATTAGTGATACTACCCTTCTTTGGTCTGAATATATCTCTTCTTAATCGTATCTTTTTAGTTATTTGGAATATTCAATATAAAATATCATTCAAAATATTATTATATTAAATAATTCCAAATAACAACATGAAAAATAAGAATATTAAATCAAAATTAAAATTTTAAGCCATACTAAAATTTTCTCTCAATTTCTCATTGAATTCGAAAAGGCCAAACATCGCGGAAAAGTAGTTGTAGGCCATACAAACAGCCAACAGTGCACGTTGATATTATTTGTCAAACTACCTCAGAAGAAGAAAACCATACTTGTTAACACGTGTTATTGTGGCTACATTATGAATGGATTATCTCAACTTGAATGGATTATCTTTCTCTCACTCCCAATTCTCATTTACTCCAATATCATTGTGAAATAGCAGAATAACTTAGCGGATAATATAATGAGTGAACAAAACACCTTATTCAGTTAAAGATGCGTTCTATCATAACTTACGGGAGAGGCAACGCATTTCACTATGATTCATAATCAAGGATAAAGCACATGTTGTTGTCTATAGGTTCGCGTAGTGTATATTTTCTTTGCTATAGGCCACATCACTTAATAACAATCATTATGTTATCATTTTGTAGGGGGTGGAGGATATAATATCCTTTTCCTTTTTA